TGGGAGACACAGCAAACATTCTGCTAATGGCTTATTGATGTGCCATCCTGTAGGAGTTGGACTGCCTGTGCAACCTCTGTAGGGTCCAGGTATTGCCTCATGCTACCAGTAGTGACATTGACCCTTGCCAAATGAAAAACTAGTGAAAAACAGTCAGAAAAGATGGGTAGGGAAAAAAAATGTATGTGACCTGTAAAACTCTTTCTGTTTTGGGGATTGTCTTGCTGTTGCCCATCTAGTGCACCTATTAAGATTAATGACAACCCCCTGTGCTACCTAACTGACCAGATCAATCCCAGGAGTTTAATTGACTTGATGCTATACTCTGATTAAAAACTGTTCCTTTAATTTTTTTGAGCAGTGTATTTTAAGTGGTTTCTCACCAAAATGCTCTATTTTGCGTCATGGCATGATTTTGGAATTACTCTTGCCTCCATAGTATCAGGACATTGCCCTGTTCAGGTGTTGTCTGCAGTGGGCAACAAGCACCACATCCTTCTAGTTCAGTTCTGCTTATCTTGTTCATTGTTGTTTACACTTTATTTCAATCCAGGTAATTATTGGTGACTGGTCAAATGAAATGCAACAGTTAAAACAGCACTGATGCTGCATTTTCCACACTCTCTTTATTGTGCTATGGATGGGGCACATACAGCCCGGACTGGCCATAGGGCACACAGGGCATCTGTCCGGTGGGCCGACGGTTGCTGGGCTGCTCCTTGAGCCTGTGCCGCTCACCTGGCCTCTCCGCAGCCGGCCAGTCACTCAGTTCACAACATGGCCATCGGAGCCAGGGGCAGAAACTAGAGGTCAGCTGATTGTGAAGGGGGAGGAGCTGCAGGAGACCCCTTTGCCTGATGTCAGGAGAGGTGTCTCTGCAGCTGCAGACACCAACGGAGCCGGACCGCGGCACTGTTAAAGTGAGTGCCACTGTGCCAGACTTGCCAGTTCTGTTGTTTGTCAAGTTAGGCAATTTTTGTAAAGCCGATTAACTGTGATGAAAGGATGCTTTGGTCACTGTCTCTCTTTCTCACAATGTGAGTAACGCTGAACAGAGGATAACAGAAGGTAAAGTGGAGTAAAGACTTTGCTTTCACTTCACCTTCTGTCATCCTCTGTTCAGTATCACTCACATTGTGGGAGAGAGACAGTTTTTGGACCCAACTTGGTGTCCTGCATTTAACCACTTGCCAACCACGCTATAGCTGAATGACGGCTACAGCGTGGTTCTCCAGTCCTGGGACGGCGTCATATGACGTCCTCTCAAAATGCGCCGTCCCGTGTGCCCCTGAGGGCGCGCACCTAGCAATCTCTGTGATCGCACTACGGACACAAGCTGATCACGTGATGTGGTAAAAGGCCAATCACAGCGACCTTTCAGCAGTCCAATGACACAGCAGATCACTGGTAAATGCAGTTGCTGGTTATCGGCTGCACTTTCCTCATGGTGTCACAGCATGAGGAAAGTACTGCCAAGAACTGGCAACTATCAGAGGACGGATCAGCACTGATCATCAGGGCACTGATGATCAGTGCCCTGATGACCAGTGTCCAGCAGTGCCACCCACCAGTGCTGCCCACAAGTGCCCAGCAGTGCCACCCACCTGTGCCCATCAGTGTCCAGCAGTGCAACCCACCTGTGCCCATCAGTGCCCAGGAGTACCACCCACCTGTGCCCATCAGTACCACCCACCAGTGCCACTCATCAGTGCCACTCATCAGTGCCGCCAGTCAGTGCCCAGCAGTGACCCAGTCAGTGCCCCATCAGTGTGCTGCCCATCAGTGTCCATCAGTGCCAGCCATTGATGCATATCAGTGCAGCATCATCAGTGCTGCCTTTCAATGCTGCCTATCAGTGCAGCTTCATCAACGCACATCAGTGAAGGAGAAAAATTACCTGTTTGCAAAATTTTATAATAGAAACAAAGAAAATCTTTTTTTTTTTAAATGTTTTGCTCTTTTTTTTTGTTAATAGCGGAAAAAATAAAACACCCAGCAGTGAGTACATACCACCAAAAGAAAGCTCTATTTGTGTGAAAATTATAAAAAATTTCATATAGGTACAATGTTGCATGACTGCACAAATGTCATTCAAAGTGCAACAGCGCTGAAAGCTGAAAATTGGCCTGGGCAGGAAGGGGGTATAAGTGCCTGGTAGGCTAGTGGTTAAAGTGGTTATAACTGATTTTTTAAAAAAAATAACAAACATATCTATACTTACCTGCTCTGTGAAATAGAATTGCACAGAGTGGCCCCAATCTTTCTTTTATCGGTTCCCCCGTCGGCACTCCTGGCTCCTCCTCTCTTGCTGGTGTCCCCAATAGGAAACCGATTCCCATGGAGGCACTCCTGCGGGTTCGCTCCTGAGCCCCACTTCTGCTTCCATCAACATAGACAGTGGGACTCGGCTCTACCCCCTACTTCCTTGTCACTGGAGTTGATGGACAAGAGCCGAAACCAATGTCTCCCGCTGCTATTGATCTGCCCAGTGAGGAGGGACAAAGCCAGGAGAGCCACAGCTCTCATGCACAGCACTGGATTGCGATGGGGTTTAGGTAAGTATAAGGGGGGTGAGGGGCTGAGGCTGTGACACAGAAGGTTTGTTACCTTAATGCATAGAGTACATTAAGGTACAAAACCTTGAGGCTTTAGAACCACTTAAACCACTTCCCACCTGCCATACATTTATAAACATCCTTGGATGGGAAGGATCATATCTTGGCCATCGCTGCAGCAATGATCGAGATATCATTGTTTAGCTCCATTGCACAAGATAGAGTAATCCGGGTGGCTAAAAGTCACTGTATTACTTTTACAGGCGGCAGAAGGGGGTCACACCCCCCTCCCGCCACCACCACCGCCATCTTTACCGGGCTCACCCATATGATCGAGGAGTCCAGTGGCATCCAGCTCTAGGCACACAGTGAGAGGAATGGACTCTCACTGTGTGACATCAGAAACAGGAAGCGACAAGGATTTCATCACTTCCTCTTTTGGTTCTTTGTTTACCTGGCTGTTACCAGCCAGTAAAGCAACTGATTAGACTGATCTGTTAATGATTGGCTGCAGTGGAGAGATTTGGGGTCTAAAAAAGAGGACCTGTAATGGCCCATGCCTATGATGAACAACATCCCTTGTAATAGCAATGAAGTTGCTAAAAAGTTAAAGATACAGTGTTAAAAAAATTTTCAATAAAAAACTAATAAAATTAAATTAAAAAATGTAAAGCGGCCACATTCTCCCGTGCTGGCGCACAAATAGGTTCTGCACGCATATGTAAACGGTGATTGCACCACACATATGCGCTGTCACCGCAAATGTCAGAGCAAGAGAAAACTATGTTTAAATTACAAAGACTGAAGCAGGCTAAATATTACAAAAAGACATTGCGAAACCGGTAGTTGTCATTATTATTACAGGTGCTTATATAGCGCTGTCAATTTTATGCAGCACTTTACATATATTGTACATTCACATCATTATTTGTAATTTGGTTTAAAAAGAAAATGAGCTGCTCGGTCTAAAATGCCCGGGCCTATTTTTTGTCCCTGTCTGAGCCTGGGCACATAGAAAACCAATCGTTTTCTATGTATTCTTGCAAGAGACCTGCATTAATTAGGTGAAGAAAAACGCAGGCCTCGGCATATAGTATGAATGGGTCTTTTGATGGGAAAAAATATGTAGGCTGCCAATTCTGACCTCTATTTAAAAAAGGTAAACAGTTGTCTGCCTTTCTCTGGCGTCAATGCTTTCTGAGTCACGGAACTGGAACAAACACAGAACAAGTGAAGTCACAGATGTCAGAACTCTTGATCTGCATACTTATTCCAAGTCAGTGACTCCGAGAGGTTGATTTCTTGAAAGGAAGTGACTGCACACTTAGAAAGTGAATGTTTACCAAGCTTGCTAAATAAGGTGAGACTGTATTCATCTTAAAGTGGAAGAAGACCATAACTAGAACTGTTTTTAAATGTTCCTTCCCTCATCCTCCTACCTATCCTGCCTAACATGTAAAAAAAAGATGTGTACTTATCCATTTTTTATCTGCTCCAATGTGGTGACATGATCCCGCAACTCCCTCTTCCCTGTGTCAACGAGCAGTGGCTGCAGGGGAGAAGAAGGAGCGCTGACAATGGCTGGGCCATGGGAATCTATGGGTGACATCATAGCTCCCCTAATTCACAACTGTTTTCAAGCACTCCCTTCCAGATAGCTACAGGATAATGTGTCCACAGTGGAGCAGATTGAAAATAGCTCAATACACACATCTTTTTGCATACAGATTAGGCAGGATAGGTAGGAGGAGGGGGGGAGTATTTTTTTTTTTTTTATTAATATTTTATTGAGTTTTACATTTCATCTATTCCATCCATTAAAAAAAAGATTCAGTATAATTTATGCAATTATTTTCACTCAAAATACAAAATTACAAAACCTCCCCTACCGCCCACCCTATCCCAGTCAATACTTTCCCTCCCCCCCCCCTTCCCTCTACTCAGCATCATTCCTCTCTCTTTTGGGATCCTGGGGTTTTCCTCCATTCCTATATACTTTCAATTAGATTAACCTTCTTAAAATCTTCCCATTTTTTCCGTTTCTCACAAAAACATTGCAATATGTCCTCATCTATATGGTATAATTCCTCCATTCTATATATCTGATCTACCTTTCTAATCCAATCCGTTATTTTTGGCACTTCCTGTTCCATCCAAAATTTAGTAATCAGACTTTTTGAATATAGTGCAATAACCCAGAATTTGTATACCTTTCAATCGTTAATTCTGATCTGATAGATTATTTCTTCCCAATATCTTTAAATTTTGTGAAACTCAGGAGGGAGTATTTTTAAAGTGGTTGTAAACCTCAGACATGAAATATGAAGAAAGCATATCCCTCTACAGCAGCGGTTCTCAACCTGGGGTCGCGACCCCTTTGGGGGTCGAACGACATTTTCCCAGGGGTCGCCTAAGACCATCGGAAAACACATATTTCCGATGGCCTTAGGAACCGAGACACCGCTCCTCCTCTATCCGTCTCCAGGTGTGGGCGGGATGACATGCCGTCCCTGTCATCTGGGCACACCCCCGGGATCAATCCTTCGCCGGTGATTGGCCGCCGGAACTGTAGCTCAGGAGAGGCACACAGGCGGCCAATCACCGGCGAGGAGGTGGAGCTTGGAGAGGAGGAGCCGAGCGGCACCGTGAAGATCGAGCGAGTGAAGAGGAGGAGAGCGGCCGGAGAAGGAAGACATCTGACCGGTAAGTGTCTGTACCATGGGAGAGGGAGGGAGCGAGCCCAGGCTGGAGCAGGGGTCAGCAAGGTAAGTATCATTGGTGTCAGTGGGAGGAATAGTGCCCCATCATTTGGTGTCACTAATACCAATGATGGGGCACTATTCCTCCCCCCACTGACACCAACGATGGGGCACTATTCCTCCCCCCACTGACACCAACGATGGGGCACTATTCCTCCCCCCACTGACACCAACGATGGGGCACTATTCCTCCCCCCACTGACACCAACGATGGGGCACTATTCCTCCCCCACTGACACCAACGATGGGGCACTATTCCTCCCCCCACTGACACCAACGATGGGGCACTATTCCTCCCCCCACTGACACCAACGATGGGGCACTATTCCTCCCCACTGACACCAACGATGGGGCACTATTGCTCCCCACTGACACCAACGATGGGGCACTATTCCTCCCCACTGACACCAATGATGGGGCACTATTCCTCCCACTGACACCAATGATGGGGCACTATTCCTCCCCCACTGACACCAAGTGTTGGGGCACTATTCCTCCCACTGACACCAGTGATGGGACACTATTCCTCCCACTGACACCAGTGATGGGGCACTATTCCTCCCCCACAATGATGGGGCACTATTCCCCCACTGACAATGATGGGGCACTATTCCTCCCACCCCAATGATGGTGGCACACACTGACACTATGATGGGGCACTATTCCCCCCCTGACACCAATGATGGGGCACTAACTGACACCAATGATGGGGCACTATTCCCCCCACTGACACCAATGATGGGGCACTATTCCCCACTGACACCAATGATGGGGCACTATTCCTCCCACTGACACCAGTGTTGGGGCACTATTCCTCCCACTGACACCAATGATGGGGCACTATTCCTCCCACTGACACCAGTGATGGGACACTATTCCTCCCACTGACACCATGATGGGGACACACTATTCCTCCCACTGACACCAATGATGGGGCACTATTCCCCCCACTGACACCAATGATGGGCACTATTACTCCCACTGAACACCAATGATGGGGGCACTATTCCTCCCACTGACACTAAGATGGGGCACTATTCCTCCCACTGATACCAATGATGGGGCACTATTCCACCCCACTGACACCAATGATGGGGCACTATTCCTCCCACTGACACCAAGTGATGGGGCACTATTCCTCCCACTGACACCTATGATGGGGCACTATTCCTCCCACTGACACCAATGATGGGGCACTATTCCCCCCACTGACACCAATGATGGGGCACTATTCCACTGACACCAATGATGGGGGCACTATTCCTCCCACTGACACCAGTGTTGAGGCACTATTCCTCCCACTGACACCAATGATGGGGCACTATTCCTCCCCTGACACCAGTGATGGGACACTATTCCTCCCACTGACACCAGTGATGGGACACTATTCCTCCCACTGACACCAATGATGGGGCACTATTCCCCCCACTGACACCAATGATGGGGCACTATTACTCCCACTGACACCAATGATGGGGCACTATTCCTCCCACTGACACCTATGATGGGGCACTATTCCTCCCACTGACACCAATGATGGGGCACTATTCCCCCCACTGACACCAATGATGGGGCACTATTCCTCCCACTGACACCAATGATGGGGCACTATTCCTCCCACTGACACCTATGATGGGGCACTATTCCTCCCACTGACACCAATGATGGGGCACTATTCCTCCCACTGATACCAATGATGGGACACTATTCCTACCACTGATACCAATGATGGGACACTATTCCTCCCACAGACATCAGTGATGGGACACTATTCCTCCCACTGACACCAATGATGTGGCTCTACTCCTCCCACTGCAAAATTACAGTTATGAAGTAGCAACAAAAATAATTTTTATGGTTGGGGGTCACCACAACATGAGGAACTGTATTAAGGGATAGCGGCATTAGAAAGGTTGAGAACCACTGCTCTACAGTGTGTACTAGTCTCAATTAAGAGCACTATGGGGTTGATTTGCTACACGCAGTTGCACTCTGCAAGAGAAGTTGCTTCAGAGCTTAGTAAATGTGCAGAAGCTCTGCTGACTTCCATCATCCAATCATGTGCGAGCAAAAATGCTGTTTTTTAATTTTCCTTGTATGTGATTGGGTATTTTTTGCAAAATGAAGTTTTTCCTCATTTACTAAGCTCTGGAGCAACTGCACTTGCAGAGCTCAACTGCACTTTGCAAAATGCACACTCTATTTGCCTTTAGTAAATCAACCTCAATGTGTCATTTTTGTCTGTTGCTTCATTTCTCCGCTATCTGCATGACTCATTTCTGACAAATGTTCCTGACACCAAGAGAAAAATGGGGACAGGAGAGGTAGCTCCAGCAGATTGACAGCCTCAGCTCTGTTGTGTGGATGGGGGGGGGGGGGGGGGCTCTTCCCTCCACTCAGCTCTCAGATCTCTCCTTTAGCTCTGCTGTGTGTAATTTAAGATCTCTGCTCTCTGTTTTTCTGAACTCTCAGACAAGCTTTATAAATTCTGGACTTTGAATGGCTGTAGAGAACAGGGCTTCAGACAGGCAGGCACAACTTATGTAAAAGGATTTGTTTCATCTCTGTGTATCAACCTGAGGATAGTCACTTTACTGGGTACATGCGAGGGTTTACAACCACTTTAAAAAGAGTTAACGTTATGGTTTCCTCCACTTTAATTGTCAAATTATGGTTATATGCAAAAAAAGCTTGTTTTTTGAAACCTCATTTTCACATGATTGTGCGTTTAGTTTTAACATACAGTAGGTTCACCTTATTAACTGAGCACAATGAACATTAAACTGAGATTTCTCATCACTTCCTCCCCAGATGACGGGTGTTGACCACAATATAAAGAACAGAGAATCTCCTCTGTGAGGATACTGAGAACATTTAAAATCGTACAAAAAAAATCTGATCAATGAGACCTGGGCATCATACAAAACATGACATAACTTGTTATTCTTTCCTACTCTAACCAACACTAAAAAAGAAACATTTTGGCTGGAGTTGGGCTTCAAATCCCTTTTGTATAAAGCAGCTCATCTACTGCCTTCCTTTGAAAAAGTGAACACGAAACGCGTTAGTGAGGTGCCCCTAATTACTGTGCACACACCGCATGGCCTTTTATGGATGGCTGACGGCCATCTTGGATTTCTGTGTAAGTGTGATTCATCTTGTATATGCTAATTTCAACTAATAAAGAATACTGCACCATTGGAGGCTCTTTCTGGGGCTCTTTCTTGTTTGTGAGCCCCATCTTTGAAGGTGATTCCTAATTCCTGCTGACCTGACGCATGGTATTGTACATGATCCCCCTGGTGGCTGTTATCAGCATCTCTGGAGGCTGGTTACCAAATCCGGATGTATGACACCTGGTGGTTGCTGCACTGATGACTTCAACCATCTGCAGTGTCCAGATCCAGAGAACCAGGAGTAGGTCTTATATACTCCATGCGCAAGCGATTTTGCTATCCGGTTAGTGCAATCTATATCCATTTCCACTATCACAGGAGTCATGGATATTCTGCATAACGAGTATATTGACTTTATCACAGGAGTCACGGATATTCTGTATAACAAGTTTGACTTTACCACATTTGTCACGTTTTACATCCCACCTTATTAGGATTCAGCACCTTATATGATATATATATATCTTGGTTTATGTGATTGCTTTCCGTAGGTTTACTAGCGCTGCATATTTTATACTTATACTGCATGGAAGCTGCGTGAATTCACAACACTGCAGAAAACTATTCTATTTCAATGTTTTTTTATTAATTTTTAAACAGTATAAAAGAAAGGCAATAAAACACGCCCACGCAGGGGCTATCAATTGCACAGATAAAAAAAATGCCAAAAAAAAAAAAAAGGAAAAACAGTGCTCTAATGCCAACAGGGCAAAAGGTACGCCCACACAGAGACTATCAATGGCACATAAATTACAAAACATTACTGTAACTGACTATAACAACTAAATGCAGCAGGCCAGTCACACCAAAACAGAGAAAGAATGAAAAAAGAAGAAAGAGGGGAAGAAAAAGAAAGAGAGAGAAAGAGAAAAAAAAAAAAGAGAGGGGCAGGGGTCCAAGAGCACCAATACCGAACGCCATTACATCCCCAGACTAGCCGGGGAGAGTGTGGGAAAGGCATATTGCAACCATGGCTCCCATATTTTCAAAAATTTATGTTGGGAGGGACACCGGACTCTTCCAGGCCTGAGCAATTGTTGTAGTGGCTGATAAAAACAGATAGGAAGCCAACTTCTGCTGATGAGCCAAGAGGCCCGGTATGGGGCAATGAAGCAAAGCATACCGAGCATCCCGGTGGATGGAGAGATGGAACAAGGTGAAAAGGAGGCCAAACACACGAGACCAAAAACGAAACAGTCTCGGGCATGACCACCAGATATGCAATACATCTCCACGATGGCCACAACCCCGAAAACATTGATCACTACAGGCAGGGTTAGCCCGGGCCAACCGAGCCGGAACCCAGTACCAGCGAAACAATACCTTATAGGCTGCCTCCAGCGTGGTCGTATTAAATGAGCATTTAACTATGAGTGACCAGGCCTTATTCCAGTCCTCCGGATCCACGGCCACTCCCAGGTCGCGCTCCCACTGAACGACATATGAAAGAGAAGTATGCGGTGAGCGTCTATTCAAAGCTGCATAAAGAAGGGAAGTAAGGCCTGGGGCGCCTGGCCGTTGTTGGCAAAGCTGTTCAAAGGCAGATTTCTGGTACGGGAAGACAGACATGCCCCGCAATGAGATCAGCCAATGCCGCAATTGAAGGTAACGAAAAAACTCCGCCGGAGGGACATCCCGTGACTCCTGAAGAGAATTCCAGGTAGGGAAGGACCGAGAGGTCAAAAAGTGTCGTACCTGGGAAAAACCATTGGTCACCCACCAAGAAAACGCCCTTGGTTGATCTAAACCTGGTGGGAAGAGGGGGTTGTTAGTGATTGGGAGCAAAGGCAAAAAAGGTGACATTAGGCCACTGGAGTAACGTACCGAGTCCCACACTTGCAAGCCATGGAGCAAAATCAGACTCAGTGCCGTGGGACGCAGGGCAGAGGGAAGCCATAGAAGTGTCGATATCGCAATAGGGGCACAATTAGGTAGTTCCAGGAGGACCCAGAGAGGTATGTCTGAGGAAGCATGCAACATAGATAGCGGGGCGATCTGGCTCGCCTGATAATATTTAGTAACATTGGGAACCCCAAGGCCACCCTGAAGTCTATGAACAAAAAGCGTAGTTCTGGAAACTCTGGGGCGTTTATTGGCCCAGATGAAAAGCATAATCTTTGCCTGAAGCAACCGAAGGAAATAAGGAGGAACCCGCACTGGGAGGGTGCGAAAATAGTATAGCAGTTTTGGCAAGATGGTCATTTTTACTGAATTAATGCGTCCAATCCATGACAGGTGCGGAAATTGCCAAGAATGCATAGAGAGAGGACACAGAGCGAAGCAGTGGATAGTAGTTTGCAGCAAACAGTGAGTCATAGGTGGGGGTCAAGCGGATGCCTAGATATTCAAGAGAAGAAGAAGCCCATTTATAAGGGAAGTGGGACTGTAGGCGCAAAACCAAATCTGAGGCCAAAGTAATATTAAGCGCGACAGTCTTATCCAAATTGATACAGAGACCCGAAATCAAGGAGAAGCGCTCAAGAACCTGTTGCAAATTTGGAAGCGTCGTCAAGGGGTTAGTGAGAGTCAAGAGGGCATCGTCGGCAAAAAGGTTCAACTTGAACTCCTGTCCAGCGTATGGAACCCCCGATATATTGCAATCAGTCCGGAGCGCCATAGCCAACGGCTCAAGCGCCAGGACAAAGAGTGCTGGGGACAGGGGGCATCCCTGTCTCGTACCTCGCCAAATAGGAAAGGAATCTGAGAAATACCCAGCGTATTTAACGGAAGCCGACGGGGAAGAATACAAGGCTTGAATCCAAGAAAGAATAGAATCCCCAAAACCCCAGCGAGACAGCACAAACCACAGATAGTCCCAGGATAGAGAATCAAAGGCTTTATATATGTCTAAGGACAGTAAGAATGTTATCACCCGCCTTTCTCCCAGGGATGAAACCCACTTGATCCCTGTGAATCAGGCTACGCAAATATTTATTGATACGACACCTGAGAATCTTGCCTAATATCTTCAGGTCTTCATTAAGAAGAGAAATGGGCCGAAAGGCTTGCGGTTCCTGCACATCATCGGTTGTCTTAGGAATCATAGAGATATGAGCTCTAAGCGCGTCTGGAGAGGGCAAGGAGCCCTGTCGTAACTCATTAAAATAATCAGTCAAGAAGGGTGCTAACAGAGTTGCAAATTTCTTATAGTAGAGGCCGGAAAAGCCATCTGGACCTGGGGCCGCGGTGGACCGTAGAGATTTAATAGCTTTTAGCACTTCCAGTACGGTAACACCGGCATTGAGGGCCTTCTGCGCTGCCTCAGATAGTCCAGGGAGTTGGAGGTCTTGAAAAAATGCCTCTGCCTGAGCCACAGGGAAGGGATCTGGTTTAGCATAAAAGACGCGAGAGAAAGTCCGCAAAACGGGAGGCAATCGGCTGGGGATTAGAAGTACAGCCACCCACGGGAAGTCGCAATCGGATCGGTTTGTGGGGTTTCCCCACAGAATTGAGTTTCCTGGCCAGCATCGGACCAGGCTTATTCGCACAGGAATAAAATTTGTGTTTGGTCCAATGCAGGGCCCGCTCCACCTCTGAAGAGGCGAGTAGATCCAACTCTGCTGCCAGGGTGTCCCGGGCACGTTTACGGGCCATGGATGGGAATGACTTCCAACGAGCGTCCGCAGAGGCCAACAGAGAATGAAGCTCCAAAAGTCGGCGCTCCCGTTCCCGCTTCCGAACCGCCGCCAGCTGTATAACTTGACCCCGCACCGTGGCTTTATGCGCCTCCCACAGGGGAACTGCCGAAGAAACAGATCCCGAGTTTTCCCGCAAAATATGTGTGTACAAAAGATTCTATTTGTTGGCAAGTGACCTGAGTGGTCAATAAGGAATCATTAATGCGCCAGTGAAAAGGGCGCCGCACCGATCCAGAAAGGGCCAGGAGGAGTACCAAGGGATCATGGTCCAACCAGGGCGAGGAGGGAATAGTTATCCGCCTGACCAAAGGAAGCTGCTGAACACGCATGAATATATGGTCAATTCTACAAAAACTGTCATGAGGGTTAGAGTAGAATGTAAAGTCGCGCTCAGTTGGGTGAAATTCTCTCCAAACGTCCGCCAGCCCCGCCGTCCTCAAGAGAGAGCGCATACGTTCCTCTAGCACTAAGTCGTGACAAGGGGCCGTCCCCTGGGCATAGCGCCTGTCCAATGTAGAATCCAAGGTAACATT